TTAGCTAGCGCGTCCTTCTGCTGCCTTTTTTTTCCCGGTACCTGCACATGAAGTAGAAAATGAGAAAAAGACAAGGAAGTCCATGTCGGTAACACCCACATGGCTAAAATAATCTTGTCATCTCAGCCTCAAACTTGTGTTTTTTACAGGCGTCCCTTTACACCACAGAAAGGAGGGAAGCTTCCTGATTTCATCAAAACCGTAAAACACAAATGCAGAAATCTCAGGGGTAGCATTTTACTGCTGACAATCCATACAATGATCTGAATGTAGAAAGCGCTTTTTACGTAGGTATCTCAAAGCATTTTTATAAATTCAGGAAGGTTCCCAATGCTGTCCCTGTGCAGTGCTGGAACAGATTCTTTCCTGGTTTACAGGGAGAAAGCTGAAGCATAGCAATTTGTTCCAGGTGACAAAGTTCACAAGTGACAGATGGAAACATCTGCGTAAAAATTCCCCACTTTGTTTTGGGTTTGTTTTGTGCCGACAGCACGAGAAACTCCCTGGCTATTACCTTATGTAGTCTTGGGCGAGTATGTAGTCTGTCGGCATCGTAATTCCTTGATTATAAAATTGAAAAAGATTATAAGTACAACTGTGTCAATGGACTAATGTATTCATTATCACAGTGTATTTTTAAGACAAAACCATTATAATAACTGTATAAGAACACAGATACATCTAGTGTATTTCATATGGAACTAAGAGGTTTTGGTAATAGGCACATTATAAACAGATGAGCTAGTTTATATACTATTTAATTTCTACCAACTTTCCAAAAAAACTGTAGAACTTATATTTTTTTATGGCTGCTGTGAAAGGATATTGAAAAAATGTGTTAATAGATTATCACCTATAAATAAAGCCCATTAAAATTTATTTGTAAAGCCATGATATGAATATGACTGATCCTTTCATGTTTTTGACAGTGCTTCACACAGCATAAACTCTTTATACTTGAGTCCACATACATGCTGCTATTGCTAGGAAAATAACATATTTATTTCATTGTTGTATCATCCATCTGTTTTTAAAGATACTTATCACTGTGATTTCTGTTTACTGCTTCGGTTTTGGTTGTTTGCTTTATGGAGCCAAGCAAAACTAAACTTCAGAGTGTCCAGGTTTCAGTTTTATTAAGCACTAACCATAATGTATGCATCTGTCCAGCACTAGAACCTTATAAACAAAGATCCTTAACAATTTCAGGTTCTGTCATATTAAGAGTTATGAATCCATATTTAAAAGCTATTAATCTTGTCTGAGCCAAGAATTTGCTGTGTCTTCCCTAAGAAGAGACACCGACAGGTCACTGGTGAGGCCAGACCTGGAGCACTGTGTCCAGTGCTGGGCTCCCCAATATAAAAAAGAGATGGAGCTACTGGCGAGAGTCCAGCAAAAGGCCACACAGGTGATGAAGGGACTGGAGCATCTCTCCTGTGAGGAGGGGCTGAGAGAGCTGGGACTGCTCAGCCTGGAGAAGAGAAGGCTCGGGGGGACCTCATCAATGTGTATAAATACCTGAAGGGAGGGCACACGGAGGACGGAGCCGGGCCCAGTGACAGGACCAGAGGCGACAGGCACAAACTGACGCTCAGGAGGTTCCCCCTGAACACCAGGAAACGCTTTTTCACTGTGAGGGTGACCGAGCACTGGCACAGGTTGCCCAGGGAGGTGGTGGAGTCTCCATCCTTGGAGATACTCAGAAGCCATCTGGACACGGACCTGGGCAACCGGCTCTGGGTGGCCCTGCCTGAGTAGGGGGGTTGGACCAGGTGAACCCCAGAGGCCCCTGCCACCCTCAACCGTGCTGGGATTATGTGATCTGAGTGTTCACTCTGTTACACCAGATCGGTATTGGAGTGTCAGGCTACAGAAGTGTCAGCAGGATGACTGCAGTAAGACAAACCAGAACAGATCAAATTCATAACATGTCACGCAGCAACACTGAACGCAAAAATCTCAGTGTGGAATAGGGCTCTTAAACAAAGCTGGTTTACCAACTACAAAGCTCATCAATGCATACCCACTTACCTTTTTATTACAATTTTAAGACATTCTCATGCATTTTGCTCACCTCCATCCAACTGCCAGAACTTCTGTCCCCAGGAGACTCACTCACTCATTCATTCATATTTGAACAGCCAGAGAAGCAAAGAATCCCAAAAGCTGAACAACTCTTTTATTTTCTGATGGCTTCAAGAAAAACAAACAAAAAAACCCCTCACACAGCTTCCCACCTGCTTGCTCCCGCCTCCGCCCGTCCCCGTTTCCATCGGGCTAAAGGAAGAGC